GATTGCATCTTCTAGGGTTCTTTTTCCGGTTGCTTTGTTCGAAGTTATTTGGGGTTCGTGAGAATTCAAATGTGTGTTTTTATTTGGAGGTAAGTGTTGACTTGTTTCGGGTAAGGTTGATTTATGTTTTTGGGTATTAGAGGATGACTCAGACGATGTAGGTGTTGCGATTGTAGTGTTAACTGGAGAAGTGGTCAAATGTATAGATGTATTTTGTAGTGAGCACTGTTGGGTTTGGTTTATTGATAAATTTGGGATTGCTACTGTTTGTAATGTGGTTTGAGAAGACGTATTAAGTGTGGAGGGAGTGGTATTTGAGATTGCGGGAGTATTTTGTGAATTATCTTGTTGAGTATGATTTATTGATGAATTTTGTCTCATTTCTGTGTGTATTGCACTATCATTGTGAGAATGGGTAGAAGGTGAAATATTTGGACAATTAGCTGCATGGTGTCCAGTTAATTTGCATTTGAAACAATTTTCGTTTTGGGCTATAAATATGCGGTATGATGTTTGTTCCAACTCGATAATAAAAGATTCAGGTAGTACAAAGTTGTCTGGAAAAGGTGAAACGAAAATTTGTCTTCGGAAGCTTAGAATATGACTAAAGGCAGGATTGGTTGCTCCTATCCGTAGGTATGATATATCTGAGAGGGGATTTAAACCTAGTTTTATTAATTCGTCCATTATTAAGTTAGAAGGTATGCTTGGACATGCATTGGACAGAATTAACCGGACTGATGGAGTTATTAATCTTCTCGCTTCTAGTATATTTCCATTTACTATTATCTTCTTTGTTTCTGCTATGAATTTATCTACTAGGTTTTTGGATGATAGATATATGCATATTCTACCGTTTGATATACGGGATGCAAAAATTATATTTTTCGGTTCTATATGCTGACTCAATCCTTCAAGATAGTCATTAATTGTACAATTTTCTAGAGTGTTAAACAAAATAGCTTGATCTCTGCCTGGGATTAATATACTACGTGGTTGACTAACTGCTTTTGAGTATGATGCATTTTGTGGTAGTTGACTGGTAGATGACATCTTTTAAATGGATTTAAAATCCGACTAAAACCGTTGCTGTTTTACAGCTTTCGTTGTTATACCAGTTCATAGAAATTGGATAATATTTATAACTAGTTGCAGTTGTTTACTTAAATATATAAATCCAAATAGATGAAAAAAGTATATATTATCTACTCACGATTCCAATATTCAGTATACAAATCACTTTCACTTTTATACTTAATTACTTTTAAATATACTTCAATAATTACTATTTAACGAGCACGATAAATTAGTGCCTAAAACACGTCTTACTCGCTTGCTGGTCAAACATAGAATCACCTATTCTCTTTAATACTTTTATGTTTGAATGCGTTAAACCCATGATATTTTAAGCATTATACGATATTGTCCACCTCGAAGATTTCTAACTTGTTCAATATATTACGTTTCATGGTCCAAGTTTCACATCCACGTAGTAATACAGGATACCATAACATTTTAGGAACATAATTCTTATTGTTTACTATCTTTAATAAGAATTACCACAATTACAAATTTGGGTTAATACCTGCTATTCGCGATGAGCGGTTTGTTTTTGTAGTTTATACCAGCAATGCCTGATCAACAAATCAATAAAACGAGGTCTTTTTGAACTCATTTAAAGACGGAACACAGTGCTCATAATAATTCAGATTTAAATTAAGTACTTTAAAACTTAAAAAAAATTGAAAATAGAATAAGCTTTAAGTCTCTATTTACAGCTCATACTTCAACTAATAATCGTGTTCTTCAGGCTAGTTATTCAATTTAATATTCATCGCTAAAACTGGAAAAATAACACTATGAGAGAGTATTTAATAAAACCGTCAATATTAGCATTTCTTAAAACGGCTCTTGAAAAAGATGACAAAGATGTAAAAGCTGTGCCATTCAGTATCAATAATGTAGAAGAATAGACAAAATGAGTGAAGATATTGAAAAACCACTTGTTGAAATGTTGTAAACAAGAAATTTCTCAGTGCAAAAGGATGAATCAACTTTTAAAGACCTTGAGACAGTATTAATAATTTACGTAAGATATATTGATAAAGCGCATTTTGCTGAAAAAATGTTGTTCTGTAAAAGATTAGACAGCGCTACTACCTATAAAGGTTTATAGATACTTGAATGTAAATGATATACAAATGAAAAATATAAGAACTTGTGCTACAGATGGTTCTCTTAAATGATGGGCAAGAAAAATGGCTGTTGAAAGAAAAATGCGAAACCAGAAATGATTCTTGTGCATTCTGTTATTCATAGGGTAAACTTGGTAGCTCAAAACATCTCGCCTGTTCTAAATGAAATACTTTCTTCTTTTTCTTCTTCCTTCTTGTAAGTAGCCTTTAAAGCCTGTTTCTTCTTCAATATTGACCTCCTAAATTGTTTAATTTATCGCACCATATTTTTCTTGGTCTGTCAATAATTCTTCGTCCATTTGGTGACTTATCTCGTGCTATTCGTACTATCCTATCCTCTGTCATTCTACTAATGTGTTCGCTTATCTCCCTATCCAACGAGTATTTTCATCTCTGTCGTTTCTAGTAGTAGTCTCGTTTTAGATGTGTTAGGTCTTGTCTCTGTCGTGTATGTTAAAATAGGTCTAATTGCTGATTTATAGATTCTTGTTCTTATGTGTTTGTTCTTCCAGATTGTGACATTAAGAGATCCCGCCGCTTTACTTGCTTTTAAGTTTTGTTGTCGTACTTCTTCAACATCTCCGTAACTAGTTATATCTATTCCCAGATATCTAAACCTTGCTTCCCGCTTTATTATTTTCCCATTAATTAATTTTACATCGTAGTGGGTATTTAGATGTTGTCATAGATTTGGTTTTTTCTGCTGATATTATCATATTGCATTTCTTGGCTGTTGTATTGAAGATGTGTGTTAATCCGTCGTCGTCTGCATACTAAATTACTACATTCAGTAATTCTATTAGTAATAAATTTAGTAATAATTATTGCTATTAAAACTAATGTCAAATGTGAGCGTCTCTTCAACCTATTTTGTGAAGAACAAAATGAAGACCATGTAAAACTCTTACTTCATCTTGAAAAGATTTATGGAACTATTTGACACTCTTAGTGATTATAAGTGACAAATCTGAAATGAATTATCTTTTAACAATGGTAAAGCATTTGTGCAAATATACAAGTAACTTCAAGGACTAAATAAAACTCTTGTCCATGCAAAACCGAAGATATTTGGTTTCATTGCCCATATTGAGTTATTACAAAAACATATTAACAACAAAAACTTTGTACAGTTTCATTGGCTCCAAAAATGTGAAGTAACTGATACCGCCTTACTTGTTATATTGTCAATCATCTGAATATTGTATCAGCTGATTTAAAAGGAAAATTTTCTGATTTAAAATAAATTGATTTTCCAACATATATGATGCAGCTAATGTTAGTCGATTTGTCTGATATACAAAATATGCAGTATCAAGATGAACTTGCAGAATTGCAAAATGATGATTCAGTTATTTAATTAATATAAAAGAAGCGATGGCGTGGCTTTGTGAGGAAACAGAAATCAAATACCCAAATTCAACCAAATGTGCAAGAAAACTATTGCTAAAAGTTTAGTTTAGAACCATTTAGAAAGAACCATTTACATCAGGCGGTGCAAGAGAGGGACGTCGGGAAGAAAATAAGATACCTAAGATAAGAGTTTGAAAAGTATTTTTAATAATAGCAATAAACGTTTATATATATATTATATATATATATATATATATATATATATATATATATATATAGTAAAACGAATATCTCCCAGAACTTCACTACAGCGTAGTTAGCTTACAAAGGCGCCACCTGCTTTGGTGACCGTGAATGAAACGATATGATAATATCGTTTTCTGTATCCTTTGTGCTATGCGAAATGTGAAATATTAAATCTTTTAGCGAAAGCCGCTATCGCTTTATTATATTAAAAGGCCAAATATATGGCCTAGGAGACAAATTCGTTAAACTTCCCGTACTCGAATCGGTATCACTAAAGTGTTATGATCATTTCGGCCTATCCCAGCCATCGTCAGACACTTGGGCTGATACAAATTCAAAGTCGGAAAGTAAAACGAATTACGAATTTTTCGAGTTTCGAATTTCTGAGAATCGTTTTACTTTTCGAGTTTGAATTTTGTATCAGCCCAAGTGTCTGACGATGCCTGGGATAGGCCGAAATGATCATAACACTTTAGTGATACCGATTCGAGCACGGGAAGTTTAACGAATTTGTCTCCTAGGACATATATTTTCCTTTTAATATAATAAAGCGATAGCGGCTTTCGCTAAAATATTTAATCTTTCATATATATATATATAGATGCTGAATGTAGATTTAGTGCTGTAAATCATTTACTGGTAAAAAAAGAAATCGGCTGGATATAACACAACGTGGAGACTTGGAACTAAAGCTAACTAAATTGGAACCTAATACAAAACATAGCACAAAAAGGTTGGGAAACACTGGTATAGATGTAAGTTTCAAAAATGCTCCTGTGTAGAAAACCTAAAAAAATAAAACAAATATACCTACCTAACTTAAAATATGCAAAGATTATTTTACATTTAGTGATATAGCTTCTATATTTTTATGACTACGCCATTCATTTCCAATGTATAATATAAACCAAATCAATGTCATCGTTGCAATAAATTTCAAAAATCTCGATAAAATCTGTATTGCATTTTTAACAACTTATTTACTAGAGATTGCGACTATCATTTCAAACATTGAGTCATTGTGTTAACGGAAATCCTCTCTTATCTAACCTGTTTGAAACAAAACAATTGTGAATGTTGAATTATATTATATATCTCATTAGTTCAATATTCGACGGCACACGCAAAACACGTTAGTAGATACATTAATTAGGTTTTTTATATAATTGTTACTTGGAAAGTTTGTCGTTTTCGGTAGTGTCAAAATGTATGCATGTTAAATCTATGTGGTTCAACCTTCTAGATACGTTATTGGTATGTTTACATTATTTGCAACTTATTAATACTGTAGGCTAATAGTTTCTTTTTAAAAATAGCGTTATTACTAATAAAATATATCTTATCAGTTTATTATTTAGTTGTGTTTTACATGTGCCGATAAAATTTATATGTTGACTATCTGTTGTGACTAATAGGAGTCTTGGAAATTGTATTTCTTGAGAGAGAAGGTTAAATACTAAAATATTGTCAGTTTATTTGAGAGTATGTTTTAAATTGTTTTCTTAGCAGAATAAGATGGAAATATTCCAGAAAAATATTATTTCCATTATCAAAGATTTTTAGAATATTTAATTTTTAATCTAAGGTATAAGCTTGGTAATCCTTTTCAATTTGTCTTCTTAATGAAGAGCGTTATATGTTACCGTATTCTTACCTGATCGAATTAGATCTTATTTAATATTGGTTTAATAATCAGAACCCGAAAACCTATTCAATACCTTTGATTCTGTTGATGACAATTGACAGTGACAGTGAAGCAGGAACACTGAAATTTTATATTCAAGAAGTTATTCCATCAAGATTTATACGTATATGAGGAACGAATATTTTGTATCGCCCTTTTTTTATCACCAATTCACAACATGGTCAGAAAATGTTGCAAAAAGTGTTTTTATGTTGGTCTGAGAAGTTGGCCAAAAACTCTTGGTCAGAAATAAAATCGTGGAAAATGCATTGCAAGGAGATAGAACAGACTGCAGAAATGAATGTCAAGGCTTCATAAAGTTTTCTTCAGGAACCCTCAGATATCCACTTCAAAAAAAGTCAGATGAATCATTCAGGATGGTTAAGGACCTAGAAGACCATTTCAGGATGCACTTTACTGTGTCTGGTCAAAAATGTTGCCATCAGACATGTGACAGTACACTGGACTAGAAATAGACTTATAATATATGGAGATGTACCTAGTATCATATCTTATGGTTCAAAACTGGCATGTAGTAAGAAAAGTGGTAGATCAAAAAGCCAATGACCCCATTTAAGCCATGTCATATAAACCACCGGGTTCGAACAGGATTTAATTAATACTTCTACAGAAGGGAAATGGCCTTCTGTAAAATGACTCTAGAACAATTGCTCAATAGGCATGGGTGGAAAGTCCGATACATCAAGTACAGTATGCGTATAGAACAGGATTCATCTAGAGGTGATGCTAAGTGCATTTTTCGATATAGTAAGAGCATTTAACAACACTTCATGCGAATCAATCATGGGGGCAATTAGTCTAAAAGGAATAGACGAAATAAGCTGCAAATAGTTAGACTGAATGCGCTGATGAGCCGTGTGATATATGCATCGTTAATGGAGTATACAGTGTATACATGTAGCCAGAGTCTATCCACAGCGGGAAGTTTTATCATCTCTCTTGTGAAATCTGCTCATACTAGGGCAACTAGGCTATGTAGATGACCTGATCTTCTTGAATTCCTAGACCCGATCTAACACAGTTAGAGATAGAATGCAACAGGTTTAGACTTTAGTCACCGAATCGGCAAATGTAACATAAGCCTCCAAAAGCCCAAACAGCTCCAATTTATCATGTAATAAATATCTCTCAGGAACGAAAAATAAGCTTTCTTTTAAATCGTTTCAAAAACGACCCCTTTAAAACCTACAATCTGCAATACCTTTGATGCATATATTATTTGAATTAGGATAAACAAAGAAGTGTTTAAAACGTTTAACATATCACTACAATGAATTTTAAATGTTTCAATGTTAAAAACAAATTTTTTGTTGATTATTTGCATAAAAATAAAAAAAGAAAATTGGAAAAAACTATTCATGATATAACAAATTTATAATTGTTTATTGCAAAAAGGACTGCGAAGTTATTATTTGTAAGCGCTACCTCAGATTAAAATAAACATCCAAATTGGTCCAATATACTCCTAGAACTGGTAAGTGGAACGCTTAACAACAAGAAAAAAGAAGAAAACAAATTGGGCAAACTTCAAGAGATTAGTGGGCGAAGAAATTGGAAACATCCCAACAATAGAAAATACACAAGATCTAGACGAAAAAGTCCTATAGTTTGAAAATATTATAAAAGAAGCTTTAAGAAACAGTATCAGAGAGGAAGAACGTACGTTCTGGACATACGATGACCTTTATATAACATATAAAGCCATCAGAAAGGAAGGATGAATGAACCCGTTGGTTTTCTCCCTTTCACACTGAGCATGTATATTACTCTATGAATTGGCGTAAAAACATAGCTATTTTGAAAACTAAATATTATTTATTGTAGATATCTATATCACACAAACCAAACCGATTGTCTACAAAAGAAATTAGGAGTATGTTAAAATGTGATACGGCAGGAAAGACCAGTGACTTTTACAGCTGATTGACACATAAATATCAACGTAACGTAATAAGATGATTTTGTATATAAGACATATAATATTATACTATAAACTATATTTAGATACAAATGTTAAACAAACATTACAATTATAGCAAATACATCTTTAAATAAACGTAACATGTTCCGATAAAGTTAAATTTAAATGTGTCAACTAAAGATTAAAATGAATCTTCATTCGCGGCATAAGATTCAATAGACTTCATGAATGAACGTATTTCAATAAAACACAAAATACATATATCAGTATACGGTACTCGATATAGCAGCAAACAGTTTTGGCAAGAAATTGTGTAGGTTGTACCATTGATTATAAACCACTACCACTATTTACTATAACATTACTATATATAACAATGTAGTTATAACTATAACTACATTGGCTGTCTGTTTGGATTACTATCACTACAATATTTGCTGTTAAGACCATCAAAAATATTATTTATAATTTTCAAAAATTCGGCAGTATGTGGAGCCGTTTTGTGTAACTGACCTACAGCTATTGCTGTTGATATTCCTGAGGCAACTGAGTTGGAAAAAATTTGTGCTGCTAATTTTACACGCATTTTTTGAAAATTGTTAGGGTTTATATGAACGTCTGTTATTTTCACCATGCATTGTCCTCTTACATTGGTTCTATCGATGTTGTATGTGTATTCAATATCTTGCCATAATATTTGTTTAGAGTCGGCAAAAAACGTCAACTTTTTGTTAAGAAAATTATTTCTTAGACTTTTTAATAAGTGGGGTGTATCAAACAGAGAAAAATCCTCTGATTTCCTATTTCTATTGCAAGCTGATCCTTACATGCGCCTAACAGCTTAAATAAAGCTCTATTATTAGATGCTTGATCACACACTAACACTTTTGGTATACACCCAATATTTTGTAATTTTGAAACAACTTCAACTACAATGTTTTTTAAGTTGTCGCTATGTATTGGACCACCTGTAACAAAATAACAAATCGGAATCTTGCAGTTATGTAGCAAGCCGCGCATCATGAAAACCAGACCTGTGTTGGCAAGTTTGTTTGTTCTTCCTAAAGCACCTAAATCTTGAAACACACAATTTTTTTTCCATTCATCCATTGTCTCTGCTTTTTTCTTCAACTTGTCAATTAAGGAAGTGTTTAAAGGAGTTCTTAATTTTAAGACACGCAACCAAGTTTGAATTGTTTTTACTGAAGGTAATATAAAGTTAGGAGATCTAATTAAAAATTTGTAACAACTAGGAGACTTATAATAAATGGCCAGAGCTAAATCCTTTTCATTGTGACTCCATTGTGAATAAGTTTTGTGTAAAACTGCATATTAACAAAAGTGTGCACGTATTTGCTTTTATTTTCTAACAGTACCTGTAACATGAATTTGGTTGCCGATTTTCTGTTTTTTGTTGTTCTTCTACAACGCTGACTGTTCTTCTGACGGCACTTCTTCTTTAAAGCATTTACTTGATACTCCAATTTTTTTACCTTCTCCATCAATTCAGTTTCAAGTTTTGTGGGTAAATTAATTTCAAAACTGGAAATATCACTGAGACTACTACTTGGTCTCTTCGGCGATGGAGTTGACCCAACCATACAATCGCCACTTGTAGATCTTTTACGTTTTGTACCGCAATAAACGTATGTAGAACATACTGGTGGGTATCACCTAAAATAGGTAATCATTGAAATGTATGTGTAATTTTAATTAAAGCAAAACAAGCATCTCCATTATTTCTGGAGAGATACTAACAACGCATTCATATTTAAAAAAAATCTCTTTTGATTTAATTGTGTAAAAATATATATAAATTACTCAATATCAACTGATTTTATATAACATATATTTTAATAGCATTACTCTCAATGACAAAGCGCATTACGCAAACATAAAAATATTTCTTAAGTTGAGTACTCATCTAAATCAGTTGGTAACTGTGTAAATGTTAGAGGAAGACCAATTTTGCTTAATAACTTTCTTTGGCCACTTTGGTAAATATGTTCTACTGCAAAATGATGCTGGCAAATTATCCACTGTTTTAGGTCACTGATATCCATCAATATAATATCAATATTCCCGCAGTTTTTTTGCCAAATTTTTGGCAAAAAATTTTGGAAATTTAAAGAAAGATATATTATTATTTGTTCCATCGTTTCTTTCAAAACATCCCGCGTAAACACATTTATGCGTTACAGAGGCCATTTTATCTAAAATTTGAGTCCTTTTTTTTTATAAAATTTCGTTATAACTTGTCACAACACTTGACACAGCTAATACACTTATAGGGTAAGTTCGGCCCTGACACTACTCCTATCTCCTCACAAGTCAGAGAGAGAATGAGAATCTTGATACGGTTTTCGAGTAACGCCATCTAGTTTTTGATACGTCTTTCGGTTACCACGAGGTGAGCTATCTAGGTAGTGGTTTATAATCAATGGTTGTACTTTACCCTAATGGAATGACAGCACCACCCGCTATCGAAAACGACGTATTTTACGACATGCAGGAACGACGAAAAAATCGGCGATAGCACAGAGTACCGCTACCTCTTAACCAAGCAACGACTGTCTTGTTTGTCAGATGGAACTCGTCTGTTCTGAAAAATGTCTTTTACTTTACGTG